GCGTGGGGGTTCTCCCCGGCACCCCTTACCCTCCCGCGGCCGTGACCTTCGCGGGGCCGCGGCGTGGTCGCCCCGCGGACGGGCTCCCGGAGGAGGGAGCGCGGGCCGTACACGCCCGGTGTCCCGCACCCTGCGGAGCAGGGACGGGGGGGCTGCTGACGCACCCCCGGACCCCTCCTGACGGGCGGCGGCTGCAGGAAGCGAGACCCCCCAGCTCCGCTCCTCGCCCCTCGAGCGCATTCCCGGGTAGCAGAGACGGAAGCAGCGGCAGGGCCGCCTCGGGGGTCCCATCCCGCGGACCCCCGGCCCCTCCGGACCCCGCGCAGCCGCCGGTGCGTGGGGGCGGGGCCGGACGCCTGGGTCCCCCTCCGAACTGGGGGGGGAAGAGGAGGAGGAGAAGGGGGGATGCGGTGTAGGCGAAGGCGGGTGCGGGCTCCGCTCCCAGGGCCCCGCTCAGGCTGGATGCGGGCGGGGGGCGCAGCGGGGTCGAGCCCCCAGGGGCGGTGCCGTTCGGGATGTCCCCTGCGCTGCAGACCCTCGGACAGGGTCGGGTGACTGCAGGAACACTGAGAGGACTGTTCCTCGCGTCCTCTTCTCAGGGTGGACGGGCTCCCATGGTGCCGTGTCCCGGTGCCGGTTCCCATGTCCCGGTGCCTGTCCCTGTGTCCCCTCGTCGGTGCCTACGCTGGGCACCTCGTGGCGGCCACCTCAAACAGGGCCTCCCGGGGAGAGGATCTAGGAGGGCCCCCCCTCCCCGTCCCCGTGCACGTGAACCGGAGCCCCCGATTTAGAAACGTCCCATGCCGTGCCAAGGGCTGAGAATAGCTCCCGGCGTCCCGGCACACCTCCTGGGGCCAGGGGCACCCCGCGGGGCTCGGGGCCCGCAGCCACCCCAAAGAGCTGAGACTGGGCACACTCAACGCAGACCAGGTGCTCGAGGGTCCCTGTTGGGTGACCTTAGTGGCCTGGACAAGCAGTGACATAGGGATGAGCCACATCCTGTGTGCTGGCACATGGGACTCGGTGCTGGGGTTATGGGAGCGTAGCTCTTCCTCTGACAGGCAGCTCTGGTGGGATAAGAAACTGAGGTGGGATGGGGAAAAGGAGGCACAGCTGAATCCTCACACACTGCAGGAAGGAGCGGCTGGTGTGGCCTTGGTTGGATGTAGTGTTGTGGGGAGTCCTGTGGGGTTTGTGGGAGCTGCGGGGCCGGGGGTGGGTCACGGTGCAAGTCCCCACTGTGACGATGCAGGACCCGTCAGACACAGGATCTGTCAAAGGCTCAAGGCCACAACATTGGGTGCACATCAGTGTCGGGACAGGTCACCAGCCCTGCAGCCACCAGCCGTCGTACGAGTGGTGGCTTCTCTGAGCCACGAGCCACGGGAAGGACACGAACCCAGGCTCAGCCATCCTGTGCCACAGCACAGCCCACACCCCACATGTGTGGGGAGGGGGCACCATGCAGGGCTCCCATGGCACTGGGTGGGCTGCCCTGATGTCAGGCCCGTGGCATCCCCCTTGCTCAGGCTGCCCAGCTGCTGCACATGCCTGGGATTCCTGCAGCGTCCCAGCACAGCACGGCACGGCACAGCACGCTGTCCCCACTGCCACACGTGCCCATGGCACTGGGCACTGTGTGGCACTGGGCAAGGTGTGCTGGGCACTGGCACAGGTGTGTGATGAGCATACAGCACCAGACGCAGATACGCGTGTGGCACTTGGCACAGCCTCACACACGGGCATCAGCGCGTGCCGGGTGCTGCCAGCCATGGCACGGCAGGTGCCCTGTGCCTGGCCACACTCCCACGGCACAATCCTGCCAGCCGGCACAGCCAGGCTTCTTCAGGCAGCAGCAGATCTGTACCACCCTCGTGCCCACCGTGATGCTGCCCCAGTGCCCACCGAGACGCTGCCCTGGTGCCCACCGTGATGCTGCAGTGCCCGTGATGACACTGCCCCAGTGCCCGAATGGCCGGGCATCGCTGGCCGGTGGCCGCGGGTCCGCCCTGCCCCCAGCCCGTGCTAATCACACTAATTGGCACCGTGGCTAAAGCGCTTAGGCTCTCACCTCCCTGACCCGGCTGGCAGCTGGGCTGGGGGGGTGCTGGGACCCCCGGAGCCCATCTGTGCTGGGGGGCAGGGACATGGCAGTGGCCCCGTGGGGTGGCCTCGGTATCTGGCACCCACGTCCGGCTGCACGGAGGCGGTCAGTGCCTTTGTGGAGGGGTGTCCCATTGTCTCGGGTCCCCGTTCCGGGGGTCCTCGAGGGTGTGGTCTTTGGAGAGCGGGGTGCTGGTTGCCCCCGCTGGGGCGAGGTGGCTCTCGCCGTCAGCCCAGCCCCGGACTTTGCCCCCGGGTTGTTTTCAGCCGCCTGCAACCACCCGACTCAGCAGAAACGCTCCCCTGGGCGTGGGGCTGGGCTGGGGGGGAGCCGGGGGGGCTCCCGCTGGCTGCCACCCCGCTCCCACCCAGCACCCACCCAGCACCTGGTGCTGCAGGTGGGACGCGCAGGTTTGGGTGCCGGCGGCGCAGGGTGGGCTGAGACCTGACTGCGCTCATCACACGTGTCCCGCTGGAGGAGGAGGAGGAAGAGGAGGAGGAGAAGGAGAAGAGCCGCCTCCCGTGTCTGTCTGTCTGTCTGGGCCGCCCCAGCGCGCCCGGGATTCCTCGAGTGACGGTTCCTGGAGCGGCACCGCAGGCTCCGCAGGGTGATCCCAGAGTGCCGGTGATGCCGGGGGTATCAGGGGCCTGCTGGGGTCTCGCTGGGGTGGCGAACCCCGACCTAACGCCGCCGCCCCCTGGCTTTAGCCCTGAGCCTCTCTCGTTCGGGGCTGCACCCATCAGACCACCTCAATGGGGAAACTGAGGCGGGATGGCCGAGCCCACCCACCGCACACTGGTTTTGGGGACACGCCATATTCCACCCCACGGTGGTTTCACCGCGACGTCGATGCACCCCGAGCCCCACACATGCACCGAGCGAGTCGGGGCTCTGCCGGCGCGCGGGGTCCCGGGGGAGAGGGGCGGGGGGCGGCGGGGGGGCCGGTGCCCGGCGGGGGCCGCGCAGCTCTGGATCCCTGCCAGTGCCTATACTTGGAAGTTCTCTGCGCGCCGTTCCCATATGGAACAAACATTTGCTGCAGCCCCTAGCTCTCTATAGGTACCGCCAGCCCCAAACCCAGCCTGAGGCTGAGACGAGGGGCGCCCAGGCCCCATAAGCCCCCCGAGGCGGGGAGTGTACCCCGGCCTGGTGAGATGCGGAGCGGTGCCTCAGTTTCCCTGAAGAGGCTGGTGCAGGCGACGCCCCCTCCTCAGACGTTCTGGGGGGACCCCCCGTGAGGCGCGGGGTGCTCTGGGCACCCATGGGTGCAGCATCCCTCGCCCCCCATCCTTCGCTGGTCGGGGGTGTCCTCGGCTGGGGGAGTGGGGGGCAGCAAGGGGGGCCAGCCGGAGCGCCCCGTAGCGTGGGGGTGTCGGGGGGGCCTCCAGCTCCGTCCGCCGCGTTTTAAATCCGCCGGAGGAATTTCTGTGGCGGCCAAGACAAACGTGACCTACTTTCTGCTGTCCCCGCGCGGAGCGGAGGAGCCCGGGGCTGGGCACCGCGCCTGCCGCGGCCCCCCCGCCGCCCCGGCGCGGGCTGCGGGCCCCCCGCGCCCCTCACACCCCTCCGCGCCGGGAGGGTCACCGGGGGGTCACGGGGGGGCTTGTGAGTAGGGCCCCCCATCCTCCCGTGATGCTGGATGGGTGCTGGGTATCCGTGGGATGTGGAACGGGGTGGGCACAAAGAGCCGGGGGTGCTGCCGCTGTCGTGCTTCAGTCACGGGGAGCCGTGGGGGGGTCGGGGGGTGCCCCCCGGTGCTGCCCGTGCCCTGACCCCCCCCACAACGTGTCTTTGCCACAGCAGAGCTCGCAGAGGAGGGATCGCCCGGACCCCCGGCGGCTCCCACCCCGTAAGTCGCCACCTACCCCACCACCTACCCCATAAGTCACTCCCCACCCCATAGGTTGCCCCCTCACCAAGTGACCCCCACTGGCAGATTTGCTGTGCAATGAACGTGTCAGGGCTCAGCCTGGCTCCCGACGGCAACATCCGAGGAGCTTCCCTGGGTGGTGAGGGGCTGCCCTCTGCACCCCCTCCCCAACGGGTTCCCCCCACCTCTTGGGGGCCCCCCCAGCCCCGCCCCAAAGGTGGGGGAGCTTCCTGTGCTTTGCTGCACGCTCACAGCTCTGGGCATGTTCTCACACAGCCTTGCACCCCTGGGTATGCTTTTGCACACCCACCCACACCTGTGCACGCTCACAGAGCCTTGCACACCTGTGTGCAAGTTGCACAACCCTGCACACACATTCTATGCTGCTACAGCCCCGCATACCTGTGCACGCTCTCACACACCTGTACATATTCTTGCACATCCGTGCACACACTCTCATATGCCCTGCACACCTGTGCATGCTCTCCCACAGCGTGGCACACCTGTACACACACTTGCACACTTGTGCATATTCTCGTACATCTCTGCATGCTCTTCCACAAACCTGCACTCTTTCAGTCCCTTAATGCTCTCACAGCCTTGCACACCTGTGCATTTCACCCCCCTGTGCACACTCTCACCTCGCTGTGCCCTCTGGCCCAGCCCCGCTGCTGTCGCACACACCCTGCACGTCGCTCCCTCCTTGTGTTCTCGCACGTCCCTCATGCCCTTGCCCAGCCCTGGGCGCCCTTGCACGCTCCACACGTTCTTGCACACTCACACCCAGCCCTCTCCAGTGGCCAGAGCTCCTGGGGCTACCCCATGGCTCCACACCCCTCCCTGGGGACCTTTCTGTGTCCCCCACAGCTGGCCCCCTTTCCCCGTCCCGGAGGTCCGTGCTGACGCCGCTGTCCCGCAGGGTCCGGCCCGGGATGCTGCGCGGTGCTGAGCACTGAGGGGCACCATGGGGTGCGCGGCGTAGCCCCGCGCCGTGGCCCCCCCGCCGTGGCCGCCTCGCCGTGGCCCCCCCGCCGTGGCCCCCGCGTGGCGCCGGAGCCCCCTCGGTCGGTGCTGAGCGCTCCTTGATGGAATTGCGGTGAATGGAACAGAAGCCCAGCACCCTGGACCCGCTGTCGGAGCCAGAGGACACCCGGTGAGCCCCCACCCCAACGCGGGGACACGCGGGAGACACGTGTGGCACTGCGCTTGGCGTGTCCCTGCGCATCCCTGTGTGGCCTGCACCTGGCTGTGCCCTCCGCGTCCGAACGTTCTGTGTGTCCCCATACCTGCTGCACCCCTGTGCCCACTCTGTCCCTTGTATCCCCGTGCCTGGTGTGTCCCTGGTGTCCTCGTGCTCAGTATGTCCCCATGCGTCGCTGCATGGTCATGCATGTCTGTGCCCTGGGTGTCCCCTGTGTCCCTGTGTGTCCCTGTGTGGTTGTGTATGTGTCCGTGCCCCGTGTGTCCCTGTGCCCTGGGTGTCCCCTGTGTCCCTGTGTGTCCCTGTGTGGTTGTGTATGTGTCCGTGCCCCGTGTGTCCCTGTGTCCTGGGTGTCCCTTGTGTCCCCGTGCCCACCACGTCCCCGTCCACCCCATGTGTCCCCAAGCATGTTCCAAACCTGGCTGTCCCCATGTCCTGTGCATCCCCGTACCCCAGGTGTCCCCCAGCCCCCCTGTACCCCACATGTCCCCAGGTGTCCCTATGTGCCCCCGCGTTCTGGGTATCCCTACATGTGCCCATGTCCTGGGTGTCCCCCTGCACCCCACATGCCACCATGGTGCGTCCATGCCCAGGTGTCCATGTGTCCCAACGCCCACACGTCCCCACTCGTGCCCCCCGCAGGGTGTCCCCCCCACTCGTGCCTCTCCCAGCCGCCCCCTCCCCGCGGGGGCCCCTCGTCCCTCCCTCCCGGGGCTATTTCGAGCCCCCGGTGAGGGGTGGCGGCCCGGGGTCACCTTTGCCTGGAGCCCCCCTGTGGGGG